CCTGTTCCAGGGGCTGTGCAGGGGCAGCAGCAGTGCAGCAAATAGGCACCTTGGCTCCAGCCAGAGCAGAGGATTGGCTTGGGGGGGGGGCCTAAATTGTGGTCTTCTAGAGCCAGTGAGAGCTGTTTTCCCTGGCAGGTTTGAATCCTAGAATCACAGAATGCTTTGGGTTGGAGGCGACCTTTAAGGGTCATCTAGTTCAACCTCCTGCAGTAAGCAGGGCCAGCTGCAACTAGAGCAGGTTGACTATCAAGCCTGACTTTGAATGTCTCCAGGGATAGTTGTGGGACACCTCCCCTGACTGAGGGATGCTCTGCAGTAGAAATCTGACCAAAACGTGAGGAACTGGAGGAGCCTGGTGACAGATAGGACCCACTGAGGCCTCAGTTTGCTACTGCTTTTTAGTCTTGTGTAAAATAACATGGAACCTGGATTTATTTGTCTGTAGTTGACTCCAGTTGTCTCTGGAGTCCTCAGCACAAGAAAGCCATGGACCTATTGGAACAGGTTGAGAGGAGGCCACAAAAAATGACCTGAGGGCTGGAACCCCCCTGCTCTGAGGCCAGGCTGAGAGATTTGGGCTTGGGCAGCCTGGAGTGGAGAAGGTTCCAGGGAAACCTCCTTGTGGCCTTCCAGTACTTAAATGGGCCTGTCAAAAAGCTGGGGACAGACTTTTTAGCAGGGGTGTGTTGTGACAGGACAATGGGGGGGATGGTTTTAAACTAAAACAGGGAGATGTAGACTAGAGAGAAGGAAGGAGTGTTTTACCCTGAGGGTGGTGAGCCCCTGGCCCAGGCTGCCCAGAGAGGTGGTCGCTGCCCCATCCCTGGAACCATCCCAGGGGAGGTTGGGTGGAGCTCTGAGCACCCTGCTCCAGCTGCAGATGTCCCTGCTCCCTGCAGGGGGTTGGGACTGGGACACCTTGAAAGGCCCCTCTGGGCTGGGGCTGCGCTCCCCACCCCGGCTGCTTCAGAGCCAGGTGCCAGGGAACTTCAGAAAAGGCTCAGCTGTGCCCCAGCAGGGCTACCCCCAGCCCCCTGTGTCCTGCTGCCTGCACAGCCCAGCCCAGACCCTGCCCTCTCTCCTCAGCCTCGTGGTGGATCATGAACAACAACTGACCCTGCCTGGCAGCAGCACACGGGACCTGGAGCCCTCGGCACAACCGACGCCTTCCCTCCTTTGTCACCTCCCTGTCCCTTGTCCCCTCCCGTGGCCTGGTGTGGGCTGCCTGCCTGGTGTCCCTGGCACTGTTTTACCCGTTTGGTCTTTTCATGTGGATTTATTTATCCCCCCACCCCTGGCCAAAGACAGTCTGTGCTGCTGGGGGGAGCAGGGTGCCCCCAGGAGCTGCACTGGGGGCTGACAGCCCAGCCCTGGGGGAGCAGGGGGCTGGTTGCTGTGTCCAGGCAACCTTCAGCCCCCTCTTGCACCCCAGCTCCTCTTCCTCCCTGTGCTCTCCTCTTCCAGCTCTGAGGACAGGCTGAAGCTCCACAGGCTGTGCTGGGGTGGGCTGGTGGATGGGGCTCTGGCCAGTTGTGGCATCTCCAGGCCAGGCCCCCCCAAGCCACCCTGTACTAGCAGGGGCTGTGCCCAGGGAGCTGGGATGCCTCACAGGGCTTGTGAATGCTGCTCTGGGGGGAGTATTTCTGGCAAGGCATGTCATCTCCAGCCCTGGGAGTGGCTTCAGGATGGGCCTTGTGCTCCCCGAGCCCAGCCTGGGCTCTGTGTGTCACTCACCAAAGCAGCACACGGCTCCCGGGGCAGGAGAGCACAGCTCAGTGCTCTGGGGCCTCATCCTGCACCTCACGTGACAGAAAGCAGAATGGGCACTGGCTTCAGTGCCCCAGGAAGAGCTGGGAGCTGAATTCATGGGGTGGGGGCTGGGAGCTGAGCCAGGCAGCTTCTCAAGGTCTCCCTGGGTTTGGGGTGCAGGGAGGTGATGCTGGGAGCAAGCTGCAGCAGCGAGAGCAGGAAACCACCTCCTTAGGGGAGGGGGAGTAGCAGCCACTGGTGCCAGCAGGGGTGGGCACAGGCAGACCCCAGCCACAGGGGACTCACGGGCAGCCAAGCAGCGAGTGCCCCTTCCTGGAGAGGGGTGTGCACAGAGCCTGGCCTGGCGTGGAGTCCAGCCAGTGACCACCCAGCACCACCAGGTCCCCACTAACCCATCCCTCAGCACCACGGTGCCATCCAGTCACACCACAGGCCGGGGGATGAGGGATGAGCTGTGCCCAGGCCCTGCTGGGGGGTCAGAGGTGGGCAGGGAGGGCAGCAGGCACTCGGCTTTGGGAGTCCTGAGCCACTGGCCACACCAGCAGCCTTTCCATGCTGCTGTGGGGCTTGGCCCCCAGTTTGGGATTTCTTCACCACTGAATGAGTTGTTTGCAGGGGGCTGGAGCCCAAAGTCCTTGCAGTAGGAGGTAGAGGTAATGGGCAACCTCAAGCAGCTGGGGGGCAGGGGGCTGGTTCTGCAAGCCTCTGGGGCAGGACCTTGCCAGGCTCATCTGTGCTCAAACTGGGGAAAAAAAAAAAGCTCAGAAAAGAACATATTTAAACATGGCCCCCAAGAAGCTGGGCACCAGCTCTTGACAGCACTTGCTCCTCACAGGCCCTGCAGCCACAGCAGCCCCAGCCCAGAAGAAAATGTGGCCCCTGCAGAGACCCCAACCAACAGCAAACCCCAGCTCCTGGGAGAGGGAGGGGGAGCGGGCTGGCAACTAGAGTCTTTTTATTGGCTACTCTGGAGTAGAACAAACTAAATACATCTGTAACAGTTTGAATTCCTTTATACAGGACATTAAATAAGTTATGCACAGGAATGAAGCAACAAATTTCTATTACAGAATTAAATGTCAGAAAAAAAAAAAAAAGAAACCTCACCCCCCTGTCTTCCCCTGTCCAAATTTCACATTTATCATTCCCTGGTGAAAAGAAAAAAAAATAATTGTTCTAATCATGACTGTTAGTATTTCATTCATTTACACTGGGGTTAATTTTAATACATGGCCATCAAAATTGCATGAGAATTATGGAAGACAATTATTTACAAGCTATTCCTTCCAGCCCTGCCCTGCTCCTTTCCCCATCTGACCTTGGGGCAGGGGGTGATGCTGACCCCCAGCCCTGGGTCAGGGCTGCACTGGGGGTGGGGACCTCGCCCCCAGACCTGTTCCTGAGGCTGCTCCTCCACCAGGAGAGCCTCTGGCCCCTGGCAGAGGGGTGGGGGACCAGGGCAGCTCCCACAAACCTGAAGCATGTGCTGCTCCTCCTCAACACGACGTCCCCTCCATGCTCCAGGCGGGCACTGCAAACCTTTCTCAGCTCCGTGGCAGCAGCGTGGGCAGAGCTGGCTCTGGGGAGCTTTGCCCTGCTGCCACCTCCCTCCCTTCTGGGGTGAACACCTCGGGCTGGGCGACACCTCCCCCAGGCTGGAATGCCACCCTGCCTGGGGCCTGCCTGCACCCCAGGGGCCGTGTCCACGCCGAGGGCTCTGCCGCAGCCCCGAGCCCCGAATATGGGAGAGGCTCCCCAATGGCACTGGAGAGCTGGCTCCAACACCAGGGGACTTCGTGGGGTCCTTGCATACTGAAACCTGGGGGAGATGGGAATGGCCTGCATGCTCCCAGGGCAGCAGCTCTGGAAACAGCTTTCCCTGAGGGACAAAGCTGGCTCAGTACATCGCTCATCTGTCCTTGGGGCAGCCAGCTCCACCACTGCAAACTCAATTACATCTTTATTATTGACACCACTTGAAAAAGTGATCCAAAATAATTTGGGAATTACTTGCCTCCTTGGGCTCCAACCCAGCAATCACACAAAAAGAGTCACGGGAACACAGCACTGTTGAATAGATGCTTTTCTAGAGCCCGTCTGTGCGCAGCACGAGGAATTGGTGCAGCTCCCTGAGGCCCCTGGGCTCTGCCTCTGATGACCTCTGTGGAGCAACTGAGATGAGCTCCACTGCGCCCTGACACAGCCCTTCTGTGGGTCAGTGTCAATTTTGGGGTTTGCACTGCCTGGAATCCCTTCTTCCACACCACAGCAGCAACCCTCTGAGTAACGGAGCTCCCCAGGCTGGCTCTGGCATCGCTGTGGGGCCTTGCTCCCTGAGCCTGCATTTTTGGGATGGTTTCCAAGGGCTGGATGAGGCAGTGGTGGCCGCATGTCCCCGGGGAGAGGAGCACAGCTGGCATTGGAGCAGCACTGCAGGAGCCCCCTGGGGCTGGGGGGGAGAGCCAATGTAGGACACCAAGTCCTGTGTTTATTTTTAGTTTGGCCAGCACGTGTGGAGATAACAGACTGTAAATAACCCACTGCAACTGTGAGGATCACTGTGGTTAAACCCAATGGCAGAAACTCTCAGACCAACAACTTCTATGCGGCCATCTGAGACACCACTGCCTGGGAGCAAGGGAAAATCGAGATGCATATCATGGAAGAAAGGTAGCTGAAGGAGGTGGCAGCTCAGACACCTTCAGGAAAGCAGCTTGAGCACATCTGACCCACGAGGATGTGGTTCAGCATCTCCTGTGTGTGCCAGCAGCGCTCTCCACCAAGTCCAGGTCCCCCCAGGTAAGTGCCCAGCCCCTCCAAGTCTCTGGGCACTCCTGCAGCGAGGATGGGCAGGGGGGCACCGTGGGCAGGGCTGGCCCCAGGTCTTCCCAAGCCACAAAAAGTGAGCTGGGGAAGGCCGAGCGTCGGCCGTGCCACCATGTGGCTGATGTGCCAAGTGATACGAGTTGCTGTGGGGGTTTTTTTTCAGCTTAACAAAACCCAGGGAAACTCATCAAAAGGCCTGAAGCAAAACCTCCCCTTTAGAGCCCGTTCGTGTCTATTGCTGTCACGGATGCCGGGGTGGAGGACCGCGAGGTGGTGGCCGAAGTCTTCTCCAGGGCCGGGCTGGGGACGCCCTCC